TTCAATCGTTACACAAATGCATAATCCCATCATTAATTAGGGTGAAAATTTCCCATGATTCCGGGCACTGGGTATCACTTGACTCAGGTTTTGGGTCCCATTTGAGTTTCTTAAACAAGAATGTGCATCGTTGACCTATGGGAATAATATTAGCATAACTTTAATATAGGCAAGCGACGTGAAAGTGAAAGGCCAAAGAGGTTAAGTGCTTCTCACGATGAAATCGAAACCCACTTTCACGGATCTTACTTAAAATAGTTTTCTTTTTCTTTATCTTTTTTTCTTTTACGCTCTTGTTTGTTTATTTTTTATAACGTAGGAGAATTGGTCGCACTCGACTATGTAAGGGAGCTAAAAAGGTAAGCCTTGAGAAAGGAAAACCAAACTCCATGTGCTGTAGTATTTAATAGGTGGCAAGTCCGTGGTTTCACAAGGAAAAAGAGAAATCACCACTGTTAAATATATCTTGAATTTTATGTACTTGGTCCGGTTCATCACCCGACCCGATATATTTTTTGTGCGACCTAAAAGTGGAGAAAAAATTGAGATTTAGTTCGTGACGCGGAGGGTTGGGTCGATAGGCTGTGGCTAGGTTTTTTCCTTGATTAAGAGAGATTTCGTTTTGAGAGAGATTATGAACCATAAGGTTTTGTTAAGTCGTTTTTTCAACTTCTAAAAACTATACTCTCTTTGATTGTAGTGGAATCTTGTTTTGCCTCACCCGTGGACGTAGATCACCTTGTGATCGAACCACGTAAATCCTTGTGTTCTGTATTTATTTTTCCGCGTTTGTTTCTAACACATGACAATCCCCATTAGTCCCCCTCTTTGCCATAAGTATATAACAAGTGTTCCATTATATGATGAAGTTGAAAATGATAATAAGGAAAAAGGCTTTTATTTAATCTTACACCATTGCATTTCCGAAATTATGTGCGAGAAAAAGCCGTGAGTTCTCCAGTGTGTAGCCTCACATGATTTATGCAATGCAATATACACTTAATAAATAACCAAACGCCCCAAGTACTCAACTTCTCGAACGAAAGGACGTAAAAAACCTGTTAATGTAACTGCTGTTGTACCGACCCAATTCAACAAAGCAAAACGAACTCCAAAAGTCCAAATCAGTTGATGAGGATGAATATGAAAATTTAGATGAAGAAGACTGCTGCGTGTGTTTGTGGTTGGGTTGTGGGTATATATCACTTATCAGCATATGCATACGTACCGTAGCCCCGCCAGGGCAGCTCCTGCCAGAGAGCTTGGCCCCGACACCCCGGTCACGTGCCTGAACACTATCCAGTTGGCCGCATTCCCGTTCACATTGTAGTCAGAAGGCGCGACAAGCATGCCGTCGATGCACACAGTGATGGCCGAGTTCTTGCATGGCCCATTGAAGGAGACAGACCGCACCAAGAACCGGCCCCACGGCACGTAGATGGAGGTGGCCCTCGTGGAGCCCATGCGCTCTGGAAGGCCTTGGTGGAATCGGTCTTGTCATCGGCTTTCGCGCCAAGAGCAACCACGTTGTACTGAACCGAAGCTGCATTTGCCGGCAATGGCGATTCGGACAACAACATGAAGATGCTGAGGGCAAGTACCAGATAATTCAGACAAGTGTTGAAGATGAATTCGGCCATCTTCTTGGGCTTTTTGAGAGAGAGAGAGAGAGAGAGAGAAGTTGAAGGGTGGGTGTTCTTGTTGTTGTGTGGTGTTGTGGTGATGATATTTATAGGGGAAATCGAGTCTTTTTGGCACAATTAAAATTTGAAGAAAAAAAGATAACAAAGAAAAAGACCGGCCCAACTTGTGATTGGGAAAGGTATTGGATAATTTGAGCAGTTTAGCCAAAATGCCCCTTTGTTAGGGGACTTTCTGCTTGCCATGTTAATGGGTCGTCGACCGGATTACGATTGCCTTTATACAAATTAGTCTCATATACCTTTTATAAGTTTGCAACTTATTTCCTGAATGATTCAGGCTGAATCTAGCTTCTTGAGCCTTCGATGTACCTAAATTGTCGGGAGGCGGGGGGCCACTTCAAATTTTGTAAGGCTTTTGTGGGGGAAAAAGAAGTAATAACAATGAAAAGAAATGGAGCAGAGAGAAGACTTTGACATTAATTTCGTTACAATGATCTAACTCAAAAGGTTTAGTATATGACCTTTCACATTATACACAAATTGTGTGAAAGGAATGATACAAGCCTTCTGATTTTTTGACATGCCTATATGAAGTGATTGTCAAACCTAGATACTGTGTGGTTGGCAAAAGATTGTTGTGACTCATCATCATATAGTTTTCACACACGTTCTATGCAAAGTGTCCTTACAAGTTCTCATTGAACCCTGTTCGTCGTCGATATGTTGGACACATGCAATGAATGACTCAAAGTATTCATTCACTTGGAAGACTATGGAAAATTCGATGACAAGAGCACAGCGACAGATTGAAGGTTTCGCCAGAGAGGACTCAAAGTATACTCATCTCTCTCTCATGTGATGAAGGTTGTGCTCCTTGCTTTTTCATCCAATAAGATTCACTGCTTTCAGAGGCGAAAAAGAAAGAAAAAGGCCAATCCATTTACTTAATGAACTAGATTCCAATAATTAAGGCTAGATTACGGAACGATTAAGGTTACTTTTGGCCTACTATCCATCATCTACCCAAGAGAAAAACAATTCAATTGACTGCTCATTCGATGCTAGTTTTTGAGTTGATTGAGGAGTGACGAAATGCCTGCCATCTTATTCCCCGTTATAAAGCTCCCAACTTGGAATTCTGGATGGGTTTCGTGCCTGACGTTGAACCACTATGGAATGCAAATGGTTTTAAATGACATTCTTCGTAGCAACAAAATTAAAAGGGCACATGGCCATGGAGGGTAGCTTCTAAAGGAAGAGAATGTCAATGTTTATTAGTTATAGTTATAGAAAAAATGAAAATTAAATAAATGTCCAAAGGGAAAGGAAGAAGTTAAAGACCCTTAACTTATTGGCTCAGCAAACAAAAAAATTCCGCCATTTTCCTGGATACTCTTATTCTCGGGCGTCCCTTCTCTCCTACTCATTGCCTTCGTCATTCTTTTCTTGAAATATCATTTATCATCGGATTTTGTTATGTATTTTGAGTTGGAACATGTACAAATATGTAATAATTGGACAAAAAGAAAAGAGGAGGAGAACGTGCAGAAGACAAGGATCACATTGCATGCTTTAACTAGTGGACACTTGGACACCTCTTGCATGACTAAGCTCACCTCAACCGACTTAGAAAGAGAGAGCTTAGTTTAAAATTTTCTTAGTAAAGATAAGGGGAATTGGCTCTTGAAAATTAAAAGATTGGTTGCACCATGATTTGCGTAGATTTGCAATCATTCTTTATTTGTACAATATCCTGCAATGAACTCATTTTCTTTTTGGTATCCATGTATTTGGATCATTTTCTTTTGTTAGAAGCAAAATAGGAAATCTTCATAGATACCAAAAGATTCTTTCCATGATCTTATGACATATAAAAAAAGATTATCATGCTAACATTATACATAATTAAATAATATTTCCTTCTTAAGGAAGATTCTCACTTTGCGGCACATGACAAAAATAGAGAGCATAAAATTAGTCTAAAAATCCAAATTATTTCTTTCCTAAATAATATTTAACCACTCTCTTTAAATTTATAAATTTTCATCTCAAGACCCACCAAAATGAATGAGACTTTTATTCCAAAAAAACATTTCCAGCACAACCGACGATGTACAACAATACAATATGTCATACCAAGATGAATACAGTCTAAATCAAACGAAGAACAAAGTGAAAGATATCAATTATGCATTAACAAATACAATGGGAATTTGTAGATATGTAAATTACATACCCAAAGCAAGTTGCGAATTTAAAAATATACCTTCCCTATCAAATTCTCTCTCTTTTCCTTTATTCCCCGCGAGAAGAGTAATCTCATCTTTTCTTTGATACCTAAATTTGATTGGGTCCTTTCTCGTTAGAAGATTTCTCGAAATCCCATAAAATCCCTTTGGACTGTCTCCAAACTTTTGGGCATTCTTGCTTGAGATGATTTGAATCCCCACAATTTGAACACTTATAGAAGTTTTGGCCAATAGGCTTTGTAAAATGTTTTTGAAAATGGTTTTTGTAAACATTGTTTGAAGGCTGACGCCTTAATCTCTCTTTGAATTTTGGAAAATAATTTTTTATATCACTTTTCTTTTCAAAGCCAAGGCCGAATTAATTGTAATACGGTAGTTGTATGGAAAGAATGTGTTCTAAAGTTTTTGAGCCAAAAGAAAACTTTTTGGAAACTTATGAAATTTCTTCTTTGAAAGAAGCATTTTCTTTTTCAGTAAATCTCGTTTTTCCTTTATTTCCTTTATTTCTTTGTTTAAAACAACAATCTTTTCTTCATTTGAAAGATTCTGTTGCCTCAACTTCACATTCTCTTTTTTAACTCCGGGATTTTCTTTAATGAAGATTTATATTCTAAACATAATTCATCAATGTATTCAGATACTTCATTAGGATTTCAAATTGACTTACCTCATTTTCTTCCTCTTGTTATGGTTTTGACGACGACAAATACAATCAAATGCTACTAATGTTTATATTGATTTAGAAGCACCATGTCATATATACATAAGCCACAATGAAGATTGTGTCATAACCAGTATCATGAATGATCCTGATATGTTGAGTGCTCTGTCACAATCAGGTATGCTTTGCCAATATGGAAGGATCACTACCGATATCAAGGTGAACAAGATATTAGGCGTGGAGATGTCTACATGTAGGAATGATCTTTACAAAGGTGAACAAGCTCGAATGACCTTGATCGAGGGAGAACAAGCCAAAAAGAATGGGGATGTTCATGATGGCTTGGAAGGACCAAGAAAAGATGAACAATTGGATGGATCTTGGAGATGGTGAACAAGCCTAGAACGGTGACATTCATTGAAGCTTACAAAGAGTGAACTTGCGAAGATGAATAGCTTGGTAGAGTCACAATCGTCAATATGCTTGGAAAGACCAGAAGATAGAAGAGCATATCATTATCGGGACAACAGATTGTTGGCTGGAGCGGTTTGTTTCAAATCAGATGGAGAGATAGTGACAATGCTAATGCTCTAGTGAGTTCAATGAAGATGAGGAATCAGTGGGGATACTAATGTCCTTGAAAGTCTTTAGATGCTGACTCAGTCAATCAATGAGGATGAGGAATCATCAGGGATTCTGATGTCCCTAGAAGTCTTTAGAAGTTGATGAAGCCAAGAGGATCATTAGAAGATTGATTGCATGTCATTCCACATGGTTTCGTTGGTGGGCAGTATCAACAGATTACTAATAATCAACACTCTTGATTATATAGGTAAGGGACAGTGTAGATATCAAGCTCTATAAAGTGGTGTATGCATGCTCATTTGATTGGAATAGTAAGAACACCAATATAGAGGTTGTAAAGGCTTGGAATTCGCATCAGGAGCACTGAAGATGAATCAAAACAGTTATAGCAACTCTGGCAGAAGACACACTTTGACATGAGCAGTGTGACTAGTTTGGAAAATACCATTATCAGAGAGAGCCGTTCTAACGTTGGTGAGGAACAGAGAGTCGTTTTGCTACTAGCAATGGTAGAATCAACAGCTACCTCATGGAGTTGAGTTATAGAAACGAACAAATCGAGTCTATAGCTATTGAGTCTTCTTTTTTGTTATGTATTTGTTGATAGTGACGATGTTGCTAATCATATCTCTGTGTGGTGCTAATGAGTTGTAAGAGCAAATAGTCAAGTGGATAAGTGTAAGAGTAGCGGTAGTATCTTGATAGTGTGATCTATCAGTTGTGTCACGACCTCCCCACGAATGGCCCTCGGGGGCCAAGGATGGTTAAGAGGCTAATGGATTGCTAAGTCTAAACCTAGGACTTAACTTGGGCTCTCCCAAGTGCATACCAACTCACGATTTAAAATTCAAGTTATTAACATGTAAATTGATTTTTATCTAAGAGTTGCCACTAATCAGTTTAGGGTGAGTTGGTAGAAACCCAAGTAAGGCGACAGGAGAATCGCCTTACTCCTATGAACCAGAGATTCAAATGAATTCGGGGACTTGATTACACTAATTATCTAATTAGTGCCATTTCAGTACTTAACCTTGTTCAAAAAACACGTTAAAGGTGTTCGTGCAGTCTTTCTATCAATTATGAATCCTAGGGTTCTAATCGTAACAAAGCTAGGGAAACGACAATCAATGATCGGAAGTGCATAAACAAAGGCCTAACATGCCTCTAATCGGGTACATGTAAGGTTGAATTAAACGTACCATTCAAACATGCGAATCAACTAACATGCAATCAAGCATGGCATTCATCATACAAGAAAGCAAGAAAAGGCAATTCCATAGCCCAAATTCCATTTTTTTGATATTCTAAATTATTTTATTTTAAAAATATTTTTTCATTTTTAATATTATTAAAATAATAATATAATAAATGGATCCGGGTCGCATCGCCGGATTCGAACTGGGTCGGGACCAACCCAAATCCGCAGGCCCAACCCAAATCGGCTGACCTAAGTCGAATCTACGGATCTAAACCGAGTCGGGGCTAATTTAGTTTAGTCAGGGCCAGCAGATCGGTCCGACTGGGACTGCAGATCCGGTTTGACCCGGTTCTCACGCGCCTCAGATACAAGCTCGCGACTTTCGAGTCAAGAGCCAGGCCCTCAAGTACAAGCTTGCGACCTTCGTGTCCATTCTTGTGGCAAGTGCGATAGGGGTGTGCCTCCTGATCCTCGCAAAGACAATCCCAACCTTGCACCTGTAGAGGAGCGTCTTCTTCATCATCAAGGCCTTCACGGCCGGGGTGATACTGTCCACCGGGTTCATACATGTCCTCCCGGACGCCTTCGAGAACTTGACCTTGACGTGCCTGAACGAGACCCTATGGGGGGAATTCCCGTTCGCGAGATTCATGGAGATGCTTGCCGCCCTCGGGATGTTGATGGTGGACACCGTTGCCACTTCTTATTTTAGGAAGTTGCATGCCAACAAGGCCGGATCGGACAAGACCGCCGGAGATAAAGAGAAGGCTAGAGAAAACCAAGTTGATGTTCCTATGCATGCAACTCATGGCCACTCTCATGGTTCTGTCACGAGTTGATAGTTTGGGAATGACCTGTGCGGCAACTTAGGCTTCCTTGGATTGTAGGAGCGCCTAAGCCAAGCCTTTTTTCGATCACTCACTTGCTCACCCGGATTGTAGAAGAGAGAATCTAGAGAGAGAAGCCCTAGGAGAGAATGAAAATTCTTCTATTGATTTGGATGATCAAAATGAGAAGGACACCCCTTTATATAGCAGAGGGCCTCAGATTACATCTGTATATCAATTATCGATCTAGTGGCCAATATCGCATCTTCCTATTTGCCAACTACCCGCATTTATGGATATGGCACAATTACCGTATCGCCCATCCCTGGGAGTGTTTCGGAAGCTCCATTAGGGTTTGGACTTGTCTTTGTCGATGTTGCACGGTTCTCGGCGCATGAAAACCTTTTAACCGTGACATTCTCCCCCACCCATTCGAGTGACGCCCTCAGCGCTCTCGGCTCAGGGGTGCTTGTTGGCTTCTTGGAGCGCTTCCGATTCTTCTAAGGTTTCTTGGCCTTTGGCTTCTCGGCTTGTCGGGTACTCGGCTCCATTTGTTTGGCCTCCTCCATGTTGGTCGGCAAGTTTGCCACCTTCGGAAATAGTACATGGATCGGCATGTTGTGTTGAAGGGGATGGTCCACCTTCGGCTTTGGCTCCATATGAGACTCGATCACGAACTTCTCAACTCTTGGTGCATCATCTACGCGTCGGATCGTGGAGAGGATCCTTGTTTTGGTCAATCCATGATCATTGGCACCATGGATGGGCACTCCGGGTCAGTGATGATAATAATCTTGGTCCTCAAGTCTATCATAGCCTTCGTAGTATTGAAGAAGTCTAAACCCAAGATGAGATTGTAGTCATTGAGTGGAATTACCTCGAATGAGAGTTTGCCTTTCCATCTTCCGACTTGGAGTTCCACGTCCTTGGCTATGCCTATGGCCAGCACGTCTTCAGCATTGACGGCCTTATATCGATGATCGGTCGGCTCCACGTGAAGTCCCAAGCTTTTGGCTGCTTCGCTCGACAAGAACAAGTTCGAAGCACCCGTATCGACTGAGGCAAAGAGGGATTCGCCACATACCTTTACTTCAACGAATGATAGGTGCGAACTTGTAGATTGTTTCTTGGTCGTTGTTTTGGCCTTCATGGTGTTGATTGATTTGAGAGTCTTCACGGTCCCAAGTCGCACCTCGCGTCTCTCTTTTTCTTGCTTTGGTTCTTCATCCTCTTCTACGGCAAGAATGGCATTGATCTTGCTTTTCTTCGAGCACTTTTGAGTCCAATGAGGGCTGTTGCAAATGAAGCACGGGGACGGTGGTAAAGTCTCGAACTTGTTCTTGTAACCCCCTTGGGTTCGATTCCACCTCGGATCGCTTTGCTTGGACGATCCTTTTTTCCCCCGACTTCTCATGCCCACCATGGTCTCTTCGGCCACGATTATGATCAACATTTGTGTCTTTTCGGCCACGGACAGCTTGGTCTTCTTCTTCGTCGTGGTGGCGATCCGACCTCCACCCACTCCCTCTTGACTTTGGGGTCTCTTTGGTGAAGTTGGCAAGAGACTCGGCCACGAGTAGTGCTCTCGAGAGGCTTCAAATGTCCTTTTGTTTGAGCTCGAGTAGTGCCCATGGCTTTAATCCATCCATAAACGCCCCGAGAGCCTCCTCCTACCCAAGGTTGGGAATTTGGAGCTTGAGCTCAGTGAATTCCTTCACGTACTCTCGGACCGTGCCTTGTTGCTCAAGGTGATGGAGCTTGCTTTAGGCTTCTTGTTGAGCAAACTCGGGGAAGAAATAGTCCCCAAACTCCTCGACAAATCCATCCCAAGTATTGATGGGATCGGCACCTCGCTTCGTCTTATCACATCTATTACGCCACCAAAGTATTGCATTATCACTAAGGAACATCGAAGCAGTTTGTACCTTGGCCAAGTCATCTTGGATCCCAAGGCGTCGAAGTATTGTTCCATGCTCCATATGAAGTTGTCCACCTCCTTGGCGGACCGGTTGCCTTTGAATTCTTTTGGTTTTGGCACATCCGGATTGTGTGCCGCTTGAATGGGCAATGCACCATTCGTGATGCTTGCTTTGCATAGGACGAGCTTGGTCTTGAGCTCTTGCACCTCCATCTTCAAGGCTTCAACCTCGGTTTTGGAGTTGCCTTCTTTGAGCTCCACGACTTCAAGCTTTAGAGCCTCGATTGATGCTTCGAGGGCTTCGTCTTTCTCGAACAAAGGGGCCGTCGCATGATTGACGATGTTTGTGAATTCGTGGCGGAGAGTTCCTTCGACCTCATTGATCCTCCCTTTAACTTCGTCAAGTTCTTCGATGAACTCCAACAATGTTGTTCTCATTCTCGTGAGCTTCTTATCGACCGTGGCCATGGTGTCCAATGAGGCATCCCTTCTCTTGGATTTTCCACGAGTCTTTTCTTGGGCAACCAATTCATCGGGAGCCCTTTCAACCACAATGACTGAAGCGAGTTGGTTTTGGCTCGACATTCTCTCAACCAGTTGGTGTGCTCCTCAATCTCTTGGACGGACTCTCTACTTGCTCTGATACCACTTGTCACGAACTGATAGTTTGGGAACGACCCGTGTGGCGACTTAGGTTTCCTTGGATTGTAGGAGCCCCTAGGCCAAGTCTTTTCTCGATCACTCACTCGGATCATAGAGAGAGAATCTAGAGAGAGAAGCTATGGGAAAGAATGTAAATGTTTTTATTAATTTGGATGATCAAAATGAGAAGGATGACACCCCTTTATATAGTAAAGGGCCTCAGATTACATCCGTTGATCGATTATCGATCTAGTGGCCGATATCGCATTTTCCTATCCTCCAACTACCCAAATTTATGGATATGGCACAATTACCATATCGCCCGTCCCTAGGAGTGTTCCGGAAGCTCCATTAGGGTTTGGATGAGTTTTTGTCGATGTTGCACGGTTCTCGGCACATGAAATCCTCTTGGCTGTGACAATTCCATATCGACGGACTCGATCGGATCTCCTGCGGCATAGAGTGATATCTCAGGTTAATTCCTTTATTCGCAATTTTCGCACATTAGTTGTGCATATTTTTTAGTTAATATGGTGAAATATCATTCGAGATTTGGGGTTATGATATCGTTAGGTGCTAGAGTTGGGGATTGTGGTGCACTCAGTGATCATAGGGATCTCGTTGGGAGCTTCAGAGAGTCCAAGTACAATTAAGCTTCTTGTTGCTGCCTTGACCTTTCATCGATTCTTTGAAGGCATGGGCCTCGGTGGATGTATCACTCAGGTACTGTTTCTCTTTAATCCTCAAATCTGCTTTTGAATTTAATAAAAAGTACTTTTCATGCACATTGAAGTTTATTTTCTGATTCGAACCATGTAAAGTCAATGCATTTATCAGGAAAGAGGGGGAAAGAGGGGGGCTTTTAAAGCAACCACTATTTTAGTTATTGGTCAATTGGGGTAGCATTAATTTCCTGAATGCTTCCAAAGATGATAAGGTCCATCTACACGTTAAGCCATTTAACCACTGAAACTGTTGAACAGGTTTTTGATATTTGAATTTGAAATCAATCTCTATCAACTTGGAATAAACTTTTGACAAGATACTAGTTGTCTTCTTATAGGGGGCGTGACATAAAAGAAGTTTGAATTGAATCTAAACTCAGTCATGTCAAAGATAATTTCTGTTTTCTCTCTTTTGCTTTTGTAGGCCAAGTTTAAGACTCGGGCAATCGTAATCATGGCACTGTTCTTCTCCCTCACAACGCCAGTAGGGATTGCTATTGGATTGGGAGTCAGCAGCAGGTATGATGAGAACAGCCCAACCGCACTCATTGTGCAGGGCATCTTCGACGCTGCATCTTCAGGGATATTGATTTACATGGCCCTGGTCGATCTTCTTTCTGCCGATTTCATGAGCCCTAAGTTGCAGAGCAATGGTAGGCTCCTGTTTGGGACCAATATAGCTCTTCTTATCGGTGCTGGTTGCATGTCTCTCTTGGCCAAATGGGCTTGAAGCAAAGGAAGCAAAAAGAAAAAAAAAATGGAAAAAAGAGATCAAACATGCATTTTTTTATTTTAGTTACTTGAAGGGCTTTGGCTTTTTCTGTAGTCCTAGGTATTAGTAAATAAGCATATATGATTATTCGACCATTTCATGATGTTTGAGCTCAAAGGAGATGATGATTCTTATATGTTTGTGGAATAAATGTCGGATATCTTCTAATGACTGATCCTGTCTGATACACACACAGGAGAAGTACCTTGACATAAATGTAGCACAGCAGGTTTTTTTGTCTTCACTGTTGATTTGGTAGTTGCAATTGTCGTTCGTCCACTTCATTGTGTGTTATCCAAAGTCTCACTAATGAGCTGACCCAGAGAATCTCGACTTTGCAAATCCGGGTCAAGACACACCCCGATCGCGCCCGTTTCTCACGCGCCTCAAAGTAAATTTATCACAAATATAGTAATGTGGGATTTTTGATAATCAAAAAATTAGTTTGGAGGTAAATTTATCACAAGTGTGCCAGTTTGGGGTTTTTGGTAGTCAAAAAATTAATTTGGGGTAAATTTATCACAAGTGTACCAGCTTGAGATTTTTTGTGGTATTAGCCCAAAAAAATATTCCAATTTCCAAAGTATTTATTTTATAAATTTTGAGAAAAATGGTGAATTAGAAATTGGTGAATCTTTCGTTTTGGCTGTGGGTTGATAAGTCTTTCGAGACACTCATTAGTTGAGGTATATTCGACAGAGATCTCGAAACAAATAGGACTCTTGAAAGTTTATATGGAATTTGTTTTATCGTATAGTAAGATTATCTTTAGTCTCTTAAAACTGGTTACTTTATTATTATGCAAAGAGAAATGCGAAATACAAAGAGAAAAAAGTATTAGCTCAAACTACCAAACTTTGAAAAGTCTCTCATTAATCACCAAATTACAAGTGACGCACATGAAAGCACATGAAAGCTCAGAAAACAGGGTTCGCAATTCAAATGGGAACCCATTCGGTTTTATTATTTTAATTTAATTAATACGACGTTTGATTAATCTCCACACAAACAATTACAATTTTGTGCATATCGTACACCCGTATCTTATAATGGTGGTGCTTGTGGATGAGAGGAGGATCAAAATAGTTACCAACCACGTTGCATTTTTCCATCCTTTCCTTTGACCGAAGACGGATTCCTTCATATGGCTAATCATGTAGCCTTGGCAAAAAATTGGCAAAAGGATACTATAAGTGTCATAACTTGTGTTCGGCGCTCACTTTGGTGCCATAACTTTTTTTCGGATCACTTTGGTGCCAAGTCGGAGGAAAAACGATCACTTGAGTGTCATAACTTTTTTTTGGATCACTTCAGTGCTAAAATTTTTGAAAAACGATCACTTAAGTGCTAAAATTTTTGAAAAACGATCACTTAAGTGCCAATCTCCGGCGAGACTCCGGCGAGCCACGTCAGCTTCAGAAATTAATAAAAAAAATGCCACGTCAGATTTCCGGCGAAAAATTGTGTACGGCACCGGAGTTGGCACTTAAGTGATCGTTTTTCAAAAATTTTAGCACTTAAGTAATCGTTTTTCAAAAATTTTAGCACTAAAGTGATCCAAAAAAAAGTTATGGCACTAAAGTGAGCGCCGTACACAAGTTATGGCACTTGTAGTGTTCTTTTGCGGCAAAAAATTCAAAAGGCACATAAATATATCCTTAATTCAAAATGACCAAGGATTGCGGTGTGCTTGACCTTTTGGAGATGCGCCTTATTGTGTCCCTTCTGCAAATGGTAATGGACCAGACGGTGATGGGGCACACGATGGTTTCACATTCAACCCTTTTTTCCACCTTCTATCTCTTGTTCTAGGCCCTTTGGTTTGGACTAATTTTCAACCCAAATCTAACTTATCAAATCGAAAAAAGAAATTTAATTCTAATATAATTTTCAATTTGTCGTGAGGTATATTCAAATTCAAACCCGATAATATTTGTCTCCGATTTTGTAAATGAGAAGTATAGAATTATTAAGTAGAGAAAATTTACTTGTTGCGAAAAACGAGTGATTGAAAAAAACTATAAGCATAATGAGAAAATAAATCAGACATTGAATTTACGTGGTTTGATCGGTCAATGTGATCTACTCCACAAGAAAAGTCGTCCAAGATTCCACTATAGATTAGCAATACAACGGATATTACAACAATAGAGTCACTCAAATACTTACAATTTGTTCGAAATACTATTCACAGGCACGACGCGCAATTGATTATTACGGGCAATAACCATTCTCCTCAGTAATGGGCAAAAACCAACAACATCCGCCTCTTAATAAATAATATTTGAATTCAAAACAGTAACCCTTTTAGCCGTCTCAAACTAGGAATCCAACTCGAATATGGACAATATTACAATACTTTCTTGCTTGTCTGAGTGTCAAACCCCAAGTGCTCTCTTTGGATTTAAATTTGTACTTGAATTTGCTTGTTTGAGTGTCAAACCCGAAGTGCTATTTGGATTTTCTAGTTGAATCAAGTTTTCTTAACGAGCTCAAACTCAAGACATATTCTCAACGATTCCCACTTTCACTCAATATTCGAGTTAAGTTACAATCGCTTTACTAGAAGCTGACACTACTACTCTCCTATTGCCCCTCACGGGCTCAACCTAAAGAGATCTTTCAAGTCTAAGTCACGCTTGAACTTCGTCAAAACAGTGGGCCTCATCAAAATACCGAGTCTACTTGCACCTTGACCTCTCTCACTACAAAAAAACATGTTTTTTGCGACGGAAATTTGCGACGGATTATTTTCGTCACAAATTTGCGACAAACTTTGCAACGGATTTATTTTCCGTCGCAAATTCCGTTGCAAATTTGCGACGGAATTTTTTTTTCCGTTGCAAAATTCGTCGCAAATTTGCAACGGAAAGTTGGTCGTCGCCAGTTCCGTCGCTAATTTGCGACGACTAATTTTCCGTCGCAAATTTGTGATGAATTTTGCGACGGATTTATTTTTCGTCGCAACGAATATTTTATCTGTCGCAAATTGCGACGGATTTTGCGACAAAATTGGATTCGTCGCAAATTTGTACCGGAAAATTAATTTTGTGATATGCACCCCACCCCACCCGTCAATTTCTCTCTCTCTCTTTCAGTAGTGATTTGTCAGGTCGCCCGCTTTTCTCTCACCTTCTCCTTCTATCATTTCTCTCAATAATCTTTGCGCACAGAAATCAATCTCGGTGAAGCTTTTCCACAGGTAAGTATCGTAGCTAATTAAGTCCGTTTAAACATGTAACTAATATGGTCCTGTCCTTCTGATTCATAGTCAGATGCGAAATTTTTTTTTTATTGACATTATTTTCTGTTTTTGTTGTAAATTGGTCGCCGACCGGCGATCGGCCATCAATTTGCGATGGACGGTCTTTATCCGTCGCAAATTTGCGACGGACGGTATTGGTCCGTCGCAAATTTGCGACGGATGAAAGGGCGAGGTGCCGGTCGACCTCGCCGCCGTGGCGGCCTCCCCCAGATCTGGGCGAGGCCGACCGGCGTCGACCCATGGCCGGCGAGGCCGCGCGGGGTGGCCATGGCCGCGGGTCGGCCTCGCCGTCGCCCGCCGAGCGACGGTGAGGTCGATCCGCGGCCCCGGAGGCCGATCGGCCTCCCCGGATCTGGCCGAGGCCGAGCGGCCTCGCCGGGGCCGCGGGTCGACGTCGCGTGTCGCCAGCTGGGCGACGGCGACGCCGACCCGCGGCCATGGCGACCCCGCTCGGCTTCGCCCAGATCAGCCGGTCGCCGGACCGGCGACCGGAGAAAATTATAAGAAATTTTTTTTTTAAAAAATTTGGAAATAATAAAAAAATTTTAAAAAATGAATGTTAAGTGATTTTGCTTTTATTTAGGTACGTGTCCAATTGAAGGTCTCGCAATCCAAGTGAACTTTGCAATTCTCTTCAAATTGACCACTTTCTGCTATCAAGATTTCAGTCAAATATCTGGGTAAGTCTTCTTTACATGGTAATTTTTTCATTTTTTAAAATTTCGTAGTAATTGTTGCGTGAAAAACAAAATTTTCATTTTCATAAAATTTTTTTAATTAACAACGGTAGATATGATATTTTAAATATTTTACGATATTTTTTTATTTTAATACAGACACAATGCAAAGAAACAAGGCTTGGATGTATAATAAGAACTTACCTAGACGTCAAGGATTGACCGATGAGTTTCGGACTGGGTTGGAACTATTTTTAGACTTTGCTAGTAGTAAATATGAGTTCATGGATGGAAATAAGTTAAGATGTCCGTGTAGAAAATGCAGTAATGATAAATTTCATGTGTGTGATATAGTTAGGGAACATCTTTGTAGATTTGGGTTTACTCCGAATTATTATAATTGGACTTGCCATGGTGGACCATTTATATCTGATGAAGGATATCGAAGAAGTGACCAATTTTTAGGAGGGGAAGAATGTAGCTATTATGACCAATTGAACCCATACGAGAGGATGGTGATTGATACAGCTGGTCAGAATTTTATTTCAGATTCGAACCATGTAAGTACTAGTTTTACTCCTACACATGAACAAGTGGGTACTAGTCATGCATCACAATTGGAAGACATGGGAGTAACGGGTTTTGATGAGAATGTGTGTAATGGAGCTTTTTCATATAATCAATTCTGGGAAGTGTTGAAAGCAGCAGATGAACCTTTATGGCCAGGTTGTGACAACAAAACTGTTAAATATCAAGGCAGAGCATAATGTGTCGCAAGATTGCTTCAACTCTTTTGTTGAAGTAATGCAGGAAACAATGCCTCGTAATAACAGCATACCAAGTGATTGTTACGATATGAAAAAGCTAGTGGATAACTTAGGTTTTCCGGTTGTAAGGATTGATGTATGTAGTACGGGTTGTATGTTATATTGGAGAGATGATGAAAATGCAGAATCTTGCAAATTCTGTAGCCAACCTAGGTACAAGATTAACAGGAGGCAGGGTCGTAATCAGAAGCGTAGACCATGCAAGCAAATGTTTTATCTGCCCTTAATCCCCAGATTGCAAAGGCTTTATGCGTCTCAAGCCACAGCTGAACACATGACTTGGCACGCAAATCATGAAACAGAAGAGGATCTAATGTGTCATCCTTCAGATGCAGAGGCATGGAAGCATTTTGATAGAACGTACCCTGAGTTTGCGATAGAGCCTC